TTTCAGAAAATTAAAATTAACAAAAAAATATTTTTCAAAATTCTAAAATAAATTTTAACAAAAACACGTATTCACAACATACGTTTTAAGGAAAAACGTATTCTGCTTATACGTTTATAAAGAAAAACGTATTTCCCCAATACATTTTTATTTATGTTAATTAAGATTAATTATTTTAATTACGCTCTTTTAGTAAAACGTATTCGCGGAATACGTTTTAAATGGAAAACGTATTCGCGGAATGCGGTTTTCTGTAAAAAACATATTCCCCGAATACATGTGTTTGATTTTTTTCCACACTTTATTTTTTTTTTTATTTTTGTCCACTTTTTTTTTTTTAAAAAAAATAAATAAGGCTACAAGATTCCAGGGGCGGATCCATAATTTTTTTTTTTGGGGACTATATATTTTTTAATAATCACAAATTTAATTTAATGTGTATAAAACATTGAAAGTTGTATTATAAAATTATACATAATAATGATGCGATATAAATTATAAAGTTTCAAACCTTGACATTAACAAATTTACATTGAACGCTCTCTCAACTTATGAATTTCATAATTGATTGACTCAATACTAATAGTTTTGATATTTTTTCTTTCTCATATAGCCACAGCTAGTACTGCCGGCTCGACCTATAGTATCTGATATAACATGTCATACCCGACCGGTTTTTATGGATATATATTGAAGAATACGCCCATACATGGGCTAAGACACTTGATATGATAATATGGGCAAAGCCCAACTTAGGCCAAGTCCAATTTGGAATATAAGGTACACTCCCCCTATAAAAGGGGGGCTAAGGTACTCATTTCCCACATTCTCTACTCATTCCCTTACTACACTTCCTCTCTCTACACACTCTCTCTCTATATGCACTCTCATATGGATCCTGTACTGACTTAAGCATCGGAGGCCCAAAGCCGGGCACCCCTCCCGGGGTCCTTGGCTTTGGGTTCTTGTAGGTGCGGTGGCCGTCCGAGTCGAGGGAGCCCGGGTGACATCTTTGTTCCATCATTTTGGCACCGTCTGTAAAGACCCGTTCGAGAAGCCAAACGGTGTCCCGTCTGAAAATTCGAACAAAGCTCCTTCAACTCGAGCAGCCGCCGCCACCGGCACCACCGCCGCCGCGGGCCTCCGGCCAAAGTGGTCGGATCGAAAATATTCTTACACCATTGGATAGATCTCATCAAGGAGAATCTCCCCTTATAATTTCGTTCGAAAATTCATCCGGGAAGGCCATCAATTTTGCGGTCAAAGTTTCCAGATCTAGCAAAAAATTGGTCAAAATCGAACATTCAAATGCGTTTTCCCGGCGATCCGTGCGGGCTATGGATAATCCGAGGGTACCACTGGAATCCTCTCGTCGA